CGAGCAATCCCCGCGTCCGGCACCCGGGACATGCCCGTCCTCGTGCATGTAGAGAAATGAAGTCGGGTCCGGACACTCCCTCGAACAAGACACCGCGAGAACGGTACGGCGAGGAATCCCCGCCCCGCACGCCAAGCCCAAAGTCCCCGCGGACCCGGGTACGACGTGCGTATGCATCGACGCCGGGCACGGAGCGCATATAACCCCCGCACGAACCCCCGTGCGGCGTAAACCGCCCGTCCACACGTTGGACGCCGGAGGGGAGGAGGCCCTGTCGCGCTACGCTGTCGGCGAAGGCGCGTAGAGCGTCCTGTGGCGATCTCCGTCCCCTTGCGCACCCCCTACGTGCGCTCGCCTGCGGCCTGGTCTGAAGCCGCGTCCCCTTCGTGCGCCGACGTGCGATTCTGAAGCCGCGCCTCCTTCGCGCGCCCTCGTCAGCGCCCACGTCTGCGCACAGTCGCGCCCACGCTGCTCTGCACACGCCACGTCTGCCCTCTTCGTGCGCCGACATGTACGCCCTCTGGCCACAACCCCCGCCGTCTCCGCGCCGACGCCTGCGCCAAAAACCGCGCCTCCTTCGTGCGCCCACGTCTGCGCCCGGAGCCATGCCCCCTTCGTGCGCGCAGAGGTACGCCCTCTGGCCAGAACCCCCGCCGACGCCTGCGCCTCCGTGCGTCCAGGTCCGCGCCTCCGTCCGCGCCCCCTTCGTGCGCCCCCTGCGTCTGCGCCCGAAGCCACATGTCACGTCTGCGCCTTCATACCACCGAAACCCCAAACCCAAAAACCCCAAAACGAAGGAATATGGAGAAAGAAAAAAACGCACCCGCCAGCACGTCGGCGTCACGCCCGTGACGAGCTTGATCGCCTGCTGCGTGTACCACAGCTCCGCGAACGCGCCCTCGTTCGTCGCCGCCGTCATCGAGGGGTGCGACCAGGTGTCTAGGGGGCGGAATGTGTCAGCGTTCGGGCGGGCGAAGGGGGGTGGGAGGGGGCGGGTGGGGCGGGGTTAAGAGGAAGGGCGGGGGGGAGAGGGAGGGAGGGAACGAGGAGGGGTCGGAGGAGCGGGCGGGGCGAACAGAAGGGGGAAGGAGAGGAGGGTGGAGAAGCTCAAGGACGGGAGGTGGGTGGGGAAAGAAGAGGATGGGAAGAAGCTCAAGGACGGGAGGTGGGTGGGGAAAGAAGAGGATGGGAAGAAGAGCGAAGATGACGGGATGGGGGGGGTGGAGGTGGAGGGGCGGGGGCGGGGGCGGGAACGAAGATAAGGAGCGGGCGGACGGTAGACGGGCTCGGAGAGAAGGAGGGAGCGCAGAAGGAGGGCGGACGCGGACGTGGGGAAGGTGACGAGCCGACGAGATGGGGTCGAGCGGGGAAGTCGAATGACAAATCCAAAAAGAAAAGCCACTCACGGACACAGATCTCATGCCCGTCCGCGACCGCGCGCTGCGCCTCGAGCGGGAAGTTGAACACGTTCGTCCCGATGTAGAACAGCGCTGCATATATGTCAGGATCGCGCGAAAAAATCACAATAAAAAAATAAAAAAATAAAACAAGAGAAACAAAGGAGAAGAAAAAAAGGAGAAAGCGCAGCATTCTACATATACGAAGAAAACGATATACGTGAAGAAAGTGGTACGCACTAGCCTTCTGGTTCTGCGACTCCAGGAAGTTGTAGAACCGGTTGTGCCCGCAGAACGGCCCGTCGTCGAATCCGTACCCGAGCGTCCGGGGCTGGCGAATCGAGTTAGTAAGATAGCTGGAGGGTAGGGGATAAGAGGAGGAAAGGGAAAGGAATGCCTGCGGCCGAGGATAAAATGCCTGCGGCGCAGGGTATGGCCTGCGGCGCGGAGGGTATGGCCTGCGGCGCTCGACAGCGCCTGACGACGCTCTCCTAACAAGGCCAAAAATGCATGCGGCGCAGACAGCTCGACCGCCTAACGGCGGTCTCGTGGGGAAGACAGGAAGGGACTGCCTGCGGCGCACTCGACCGCCTGACGGCGGCCGCAAAGGCAGGAAGGGAATGCTTGCGGCGCTGTCGAGCACCCAACGGTGCTCTTCTGTGCCTGCGGCGCCTCAACCGCCTAATGGCGGCCTCGTGATGGCTCGACAAAAAGGCGAAAACACGCACCGGCTGCACGTCCTTGACATCCGCATTGACGCCCGCGGTCTTGGGCGTCGTGCAGCCCGTCTGCGTCCACCAGCAGTCGGGGTCGGCGGCCTGGTCGTAGGTGACGCCGGTAAAGTCGCCGCCGAGGGTGCCGCGGGGGGCGATGTTGGGGATGTTGGCGCTGAAGGACGCGAACTTTGCCTTGCCGGCGGTGTCGTTGGGGAGGAGGGCGGTGACGTTCTTGGAGATGGTGGGGAAGTTGGGGATGGCGGCGGAGACGGCCGCGTTGAAGTACGGCGCGCATTCCGCGGTGGGGTCTGCGGGGACGTCAGCTCCTGTCGTGCGGATGAAAAGCGGAGGGAACGGGCCCTCGATGGCAGCCTCCTGCGCCTCGGTGGTGCGGTCCTGGGCGCGCACGGCGGCGGCGCGAAGGAGGAGGACGAGGGCGGCGGCGGCGGCGGGGGAAGCACAGCGGGCGCGCATGTTGTTGGTTGTCGTGGGTGGCGTGAAGGAGAACAAGAGAGGGAAATGAAAACAACTGTGTTTTGGCGTCCCTGTCTATCCCCGAAACATTCAGCCTATCCCCGGCGCGCTGCAATTCAATTTCAACACTCGGCGTGCCGACATTCCCCCGGAATCTCCGCCGCATCGAGCCGCACCGCGCAGATCGGGGTGAATAATCCGCAAAATTCCTGCTGAAACGGAGATAAAAGAGAGACATGAGGGACGGAAAGTGACGCGCCTATCCTGATCAGTGACCCCCTGATGGGATCCCTGATCGGCAAAGATCGGTGATGGCGGCCATAGCGACCTTCGGGCCCGACGAGCGCGGCGAGGGCCGCGGCGAGCACCACCCGCGCCTCGCTCGGACGCTCGCTCTCCCTGGAATGAAGACGAGGCTGTAGGCCGGCGTCCGGAACGTGAACCGCACGAAACACGGCAGGGTGATCGGCGTGTGATCTGCGCTGATGGCGCCCGTCAACATTTCTAAACGACGTCCACGAGGAACGACGACGACGGGGTAAAAATCTGCAGCGCGACGGTCGCCTGAGCCTCACGTTCTTGCTCTCATCCCTCGTTCAATTGAGCAAATTCCCTCCGGATCTGAATGCTGAGCGCTGAACAGCGACCCAGGCTTCAGCTCAACTCAATTGAAACGATCGACAATCACGTTCCCCCACCGGCGTCTACAGCCCGCGCCCATGGCCAATAATAAACCACGAGCCGGCACGCACCCTCCGACCCCTCCCTTCCATTTTTAGTCCAAGTCTATTCACCCAACGGCGTCCAGCGCCCGCCCGAAAGTCCCGAGCGTCCCGAACCCCTCTTCAAGTCTCAATTCGTCCAGCCCGGCGACAATAACACCTCCAAATGCGTCCCTCGCGTCCCGACTCCCGAGTACCCCACTCCAAATCTTGAACCTCGATTCGTGCAGCACGGCGACGGTGACCCTCTAAATGTGCCTCGCGCCGTCGCCCGACTCGACCTTGTTTGGAAGACTACTTCCCTCCTAATTTTCTCCTTCCTACCAGCACCCACCGGCCTGCGCCTTCGAAAATCGAACGCCCCAGCCCCGAGCGTCCCGAGCACACCAGTCTCGATTCGTCCACAGCTATTTTGAAAACACTAGTACAATTTTTTTCTTCTTCTTCATTTTCGACCGAAAGTTCGCATTGGCAATGCCAACGTGCCGAATTGAGACACAAAAGCTCCCAAAACTGAGCTTAGCTTTTGAGCTGCAGAAGGGCTGAAGACGGGTATTCGCGGAGCCGCTATTATATGCTCCTCGCCGAACTCTGCTCGAAAAACGAAGATTGTCTATCGTTTTTCAAAATAGCTGTATGTAATAGGCTTCAACTGTGTACCTCGCGCCGTGTGCGACAGCTGACAGCTGATGCGGAAGACTCCCTTGAAGCGCTTTCCTCTGCTTGCCTCCCCCACCGGCCTCCACAGCCCGCCTTCGGAAATCGAACGCCCCCGCGCCGAAAGCCCCGAGCGTCCCGAACACCCTTCTCCGAGTCTCGATTCGTCCAGCACGGCGACGCTAACTCCTACATAAATTTGCGCCCCCAACAGCTGATATTTTGTTCGGAAGAATCTAGGCTGTCTTGAACTTTGAAACGCTTCCTCCTTCCTCGGAGCGGCCTCTACAGCCCGCGCTCCGCCTTCGAAAACGGAGCCGCGCGTCTTCGTTCCGTTGAACCTGCACCGTTATGTCTTCTCAGCTCTGTTCCGTCTGTTCCCCGATGTATTTATATCTCTCCCTCGCAGCCGAGCCCCATCTCGACGTTAAATATAAAGTGCCCCCTCCACTAAAAATATCCTCCCTTGCCGCAATACTGCCGCAATTCAACAAAATAACAGGCATCCAACCTGTCATTGTCAAGACCCAATATAATAATAATATTCAGCCCCGTAGCCGGCCTTTCACCGCCCGCCGCCTCGCTTGCGCCTTCGCGACCCGGCAGCCGGGTCGCTTGCGCTTGTCGAATAATCTATTCAGCATTGACGCCGAGGTCGACATTGAATATCTATACGACACCGAGCTGCCCAGCAAGACGACGCGAAACGGAAGAGGAAGAGGAATACGAGCCGGTGGCGAGGGTCTCGCGTCCGCCTCGCATGTCGAGATAATGTAGGCGCGGTGCATGCGGAAGGCCCGGGTTCGACTCCCGGCTGGCTCATAATTGTCACGTCGAGCTCTTTTTCCCTTCTTCTTCCTTCGTGCAGCACTCTCTCCGCGATTATCAGTGTCATACCCGTCTGGCATCTCACAACTTGAAAGTCGCCCGGTTCGAATTAATCCCAACCCTGCATCTGATTTCCTCCTTCCTGCCTGCGCCTCAGAACGAGGCACCGCACGCTCGTACAGAGCTCCTCGCAGCAGGGATAGTACGAGCCAGTGGCGAAGGGTATCGCGTCCGCGTCATATATGCGACATTATGGATTCACTGTGTATGCGCGGAAGGCCCGGGTTCGACTCCCGGCTGGCTCATGGCTCGTGGTTCGTTTCTGGGGTCTTTTTTCTGGTCAGTCCGTGCAGCACTCTCTCATATCCGCACGCAGCGACTGCCATCGCGCTTGAACGTACCTGTTGAATTCGAACGCTGCGCATACGCTCCGGATTAATACCAACACCACGTCTCCTTTCCTCCCGAGCACCTCAAAATGAGGCACCGCACCTGCATACAAGGCTCCTCGTAGCAGGGATAGTGCGAGCCAGTGGCGAAGGGTATCGCGTCCGCGTCATATACTGGAGTGGGAATCTAATTTGTCGAATATTTATATTTATTCAGCCCTGCACAAGACGCGAAACGCACAGGCAATACGAGCCAGTGGCGAGGGTCTCGCGTCCGCCTCATATGATCGTGAGTGTAAATCTTGGCACGCGGAAGGTCCGGGTTCGACTCCCGGCTGGCTCATACGAGAGGATCCAGGGTTGTTTTTTCGTCTTCTTGTTCTGGGCATCTCGTTTGGCAGTCTCTCTTATGATTACGTCCCACGACTGCCATCGCCCGCAATTAAATCCAACACCGTGTCTCCTTTCTTCCTGCTGCCTGCAACTCACAACAAGGCACCGCACCCACACAAGGCTCCTCGCAGCGAGCACAAGTACGAGCCAGTGGCGAAGGGTACCGCGTCCGCCTCATATGATCGTGGTTCAATGAGTGTAAATCTTGGCACGCGGAAGGTCCGGGTTCGACTCCCGGCTGGCTCATACGAGAGGATCCAGGGTTGTTTTTTCGTCTTCTTGTTCTGGGCATCTCGTTTGGCAGTCTCTCTTATGATTACGTCCCCACGACTGCCATCGCCCGCAATTAAATCCAACACCGTGTCTCCTTTCTTCCTGCCTGCCTGCAACTCACAACAAGGCACCGCACCCACACAAGGCTCCTCGCAGCGAGCACAAGTACGAGCCAGTGGCGAAGGGTACCGCGTCCGCGTCATATACTGCAAGATAAATCGGATTATCTGGTGTGCGGAAGGCCCGGGTTCGACTCCCGGCTGGCTCATACGAGAGGATCCAGGGTTGTTTTTTCGTCTTCTTGTTCTGGACATATCGTGCAGCAGTCTCTCTGATGATTACATCCCCACGACTGCCATCGTCCGCAATTAAATCCAACACCGCGTCTCCTTTCCTCCCGCCTGCCTGCACCTCAAAATGAGGCACCGCACCCGTACAAGGCTCCTCGCAGCAGGGATAGTGCGAGCCAGTGGCGAAGGGTATCGCGTCCGCATCATATAGGTACATGATAGATTCGCTGTGTATGCGGAAGGCCCGGGTTCGACTCCCGGCTGGCTCATTCGAGAAGATCTAGGTTTTTTTTTTCGTCTTCTTCCTCTGGTCAGTCTGTGCAGCAGTCTCTCTGCGATTATCGTATCCGCCCAGCATCTCACAATCTGAACATATGCACACTGCCATCGCGCTCGAACATTGCCCGGTCCGAATTAATCCCACCACCGCCTCCTGCACTGTAACTTCACAACGAGGCAACGCACCCGTACAAGGCTCCTCGCAGCAAGGATAAATACGAGCCAGTGGCGAAAGGTCTCGCGTCCGCCTCGTATATTATATGTTGAGTGCCGGTAATGCGGAAGGCCCGGGTTCGACTTCCGGCTGGCTAATAGAACTCCCTCGGGTTTTTTTTTGTCCTCTGGTCACTTCGTGCGGCAGTCTCTCTGCGATCATCATATCCACTACAACACGCGAGGTACGAGCGTCAAGTGTTGTGGCGTCTGTAACACCTTTAAACGCGTGCCTCGCGCCATCGCCCGACTCGATCTTGTTTGGAAGCCTGCTCCCAATCACTCCGTCCTCGGAGCACCCACCGGCTTCCACAGCCTGCGCGCCGCCTTCGAAAATCGAACACCCCAGCCCCGAGCGTCCCAAGCACACCAGTCTCAATTCGTCTAGCACGGCGACGCTACCTCCTAAATTTGTGCCCCCAACAGTAGTCTGTAGTTTACCGCGTGCCTGATGTAGGGAGCTCGACCTTATTACATAATCGTCGAACTTTGAATTATCGACGAGGCTTTCCTCCTGCATGGCGGCAATACAGGCTATATATGAAGAGGCCAAATCCCTTAGAATTCCAAAACAAAGCAATTTGTGCCCTCAGAGTTCCTGTTACAGAGGTCGTTGAGGTGCAAAGTTGTTACCGGCCGGTTCACATCAAAATCCGGCCTCACGGTTTTGGGATCACCTGGGAAAATTTGAGTGTGAAAGTTGCTGGTTCTCGTGGTCGGGTGAATAATCCCCAAGAAAATCGACGAACAACGCGCTCTAACCCTCATTTCTATGTCCGAGAAATTCAAGATTACATAATAAGGCTAACCTCCAATCAACTGATCAAGGCACTCAACAGACTACAACATGCGAGGTACGAGCTACTTCTGTTGTAACGTCTGTCTACGAGAGACTACCCCAACAGCTGACATTTTGTTCGGAAGAATCGAATTTAGACTGCCTTGAATTTTGAAGCGCTTCCCTGAGGCCTCCAAAGCCCGCCCTGCTTCGAAAATCCAACATTCAGGCCCAAAATGTCTCTCCGTTCCGTCGAACGGTCTCGAATCTGCAACGTTGAATATGTCTTCTCAGCTCTGTTCCGTCCGTTCCTCGATGTATTTATATCGCGCCCCTCGCAGCCGAGCCCAAGTGCCCCCTCTGTCCTAAAAATATCCTCCCCTGCCAGGGTCGGGGGCCCTGCCGCAATACTGCCGCAATAACAAGCACCAGGCGACCCAACCTGTCATTGCCAAAACTCAATATAATAATAATAATTCAGCGGCCGTTCACCGCCCGCCGCCTCGCTTGCGGCTTCGCGACCCGGCAGCCGCGTCGCTTGCGCTCGTCGAATATCTTAGATATTCAGCATTGACGCCGAGGTCGGTCTTGAATATCGATTCAACCCCGAGCTGCCCAGCAAGATGACCCGAAACGGAAGCGGAAGAGGAATACGACTAGTATGTACTCCGAGCCGGTGGCGAGGGTCTCGCGTCCGCCTCGCATGTCGAAATCGGCGCGGTGCATGCGGAAGGCCGGCGCCGGGTTCGCCTCCCGGCTGGCTCATGCGGGAGTAGCAGCGATTTTCTTCCTTTTCTTCGTCGTCGTCCAATGGTGAGTTCGTGCGACGAGTCTGCAATTATCACAAAGTCCCCACGACTGCCATCGTCCGCAATTAAATCCAACCCCGCATCTGATTTCCTCCTTCCTGCCTGCGTCTCAGAACGGGCCAACGTACATGCGTACAAGGCTCCTCGCAGCAGGAATAGTACGAGCCAGTGGCGAAGGGTATTGCGTCCGCCTCGTATATATATTGAGTGCCAGTAATGCGGAAGGCCCGGGTTCGACTCCCGGCTGGCTCATAGCACTCCCTCGAGTTTTTTTCGTCCTCTGGTCACTTCGTGCAGCAGTCTCGCTGCGATTATCATCCCCACAATTTAAATGTTGCCCGTTCCCATTCCGAACTACTTTCAGCACCGCGCTTGATTCCCCTCCCCGCACCTCCAAAACGAGGCACCTCACCCGTACAAGGATCCTCGCAGCGAGCATAAGTACGAGCCGGTGGCGAAGGGTATCGTATCCGCCTCGCATGTAAGGGTACTGAGGCTAGGTGCATGCGGAGGCCCGGGTTCGACTCCCGGCTGGCTCATACGAGAAGATCCAGGATTTTTTGTCTTTCTCTTCTTCCTCTGGTTAGTTCGTGCAGCAGTCTCTCTGACGATTACATCCTCACGACTACCATCGCCCGCAATTAAATCCAACATCGCATCTGAATTTCCTCCCCTGCCCCTCCGAAACGGGCCAACGCACCTGCATACAAGGCTCCGCACAGCAGTGGGTAATAAGAGCCAGTGGCGAAGGTCTTGAATCCGCATCAATAGGGTGTTTCACAATTGACTTTTTGACCCCAACTTGCGCCCCAACTCCGGCCTCAACTTGGCCTCAACTTGCCTCGAGTTGAGGCATGAGTTGGGGACTTAATTGTGAAACACCTAAGCAGATGTTTTCTCGGAGTTGAGCAGAGTTGAGGTTTGGGGATCAGATCTTGTGCTGCAAGCAAAGTTGGGGCTCAAGTCGGGGCAGAAGTTGGGGCAAAGTTGGATGTCAAGTCGAGGTCCTACCCTCGACTTGACATCCAACTTCGATTTTCGTGCCCCAACTTCGACCCCAACTTGCCCCGAGTTGAGGTCGAAGTTGAGGCACGAGTTGGGCCCGAAAATCTAATTATGAAACACCCTAATGCCGGAGAGGTATGCGGAAGGCCCGGGTTCGACTCCCGGCTGGCTCTGTTGGAACGGCAAACCGAAGTCCCGACTTGGGACTCATTCGGACTCATCCGTCATGCTAGCGCTCGACGGCTCCTCGTGTATACCCTGCAACGGACTCATACTTATTCAGACTGACTGTATGTACATGCGCATGCGCGCTGTTCCCTGACTCTCATGTGCGCTGCCTCCATGTTGTGTTTACTTGTCCCCGTAAGTAGTTATGACTCTTATGTTTGTATTTAAGCAGTAGTATTCTACGCAATTTATTTAGTTCAATCCCCTCTCTCAAATTCCCTCGTTGAATAGGCTCATTCGGGAAGATCCACGATTTTTTTTTCGTCTTCTTCCTCTCGTCAGTCTGTACAGCAGTCTCTCTGCGAATATCATATCCGCCCAGCATCTTACAGTTTGAACATATGCACACTGCCATCGCGCTCGAACGTTGCCCGGTCCGAATTAATCCCACCACCGCCTCCTGCACTGTAACTTCACAACGAGGCAGTGCACCCATACAAAGCCCCTCGCAGCAAGGATAAATACGAGACATTGGCGAAAGGTCTCGTGTCCGCCTATATGTATTGAGTGCCGGTAATGCGCATAGAACTCCCTCGGGTTTTTTGCGTCCTCTGGTCACTTCGTGCGGCAGTCTCTCTCCGATCATCATATCCACTACAACACGCGAGGTACCAGCGTCAAGTGTTGTGGCATCTGTCTAGGAGAGACTACATATCCACTTGGCATTTCACACTTTGAACCCTGCCCACACGCTCCGAATCAATCCCAAGTTGATTCCCAACATCACATCTGAATTCCCTCCCGCGTGCCTGCATCTCCGACTCAACAAGGCAGCACGCACTCATATCAATCTCCGCGCATCAGGGATAGTACGAGCCAGTGGCGAAAGATATCCTATCCCCTAATGTAGGCCATACGCGGTGATTATGTGGAAGGCCCGGGCTCGAATCCCGGCTGGCTCATAGTGGGAGCCTCAGCGATTTTCTTCTTGTTCTGGTTAGTTCGCGCAGCAGTCTCATATCCGCGTGCACCCTTGAACGTTCCTGTTGAATTCGAACACCAGCCCATACGCTCCGGATTAATTCCAAGACCGTCTCTCCCATCTCAGAACGACCTGCACAAAGCTCCGTGTAATAGCGGGCACAGTGCGAGCCAGTGGTGAAGGGTCTCGCGTCCGCCTCGTATATATGTTGCGTCTTTGTATGCGGCTGGACGGGATCCTTTTTTCTGGTTAGTTCGTTTAGCACTCTCTCATATCCGCGTGCAGCGACTGGCATCGCGCTCAAGGCCTCGAACGTTGCCCGTTCCGAACTAACTCTGAAACGCAAGGCAACACACCTGATACGACGCTCCCCGCAGCAGGGATAAATACAAGCCATTGGCGAAGGGTATCGCGTCCGCCGCAAATTCATGAAGGGTTTGATACATGCGGAAGGCCCGGGTTCGACTCCCGGCTGGCTCGTGGAGCATTCGAGATCTATTTTTCTGGTCAGCTCGTGTAGGTAGTCTCTCTGATGATTATATCCGCCTGCCTCTCACAATTTGAACGTTGCCCGTTCCGGATTGATTCGAACTTCGCATCTGATTTCCCCCCGACTCAGAACGAGGCAACGCACACCTGTACGCGTACAAAGGCTCCGCGCAGCAAGGATAGTACGAGCCAGTGGCGAAGGGTCTCGCGTCCGCAGCATATGGGGCCATAGTTTACGATCGTGATTATGCGGAAGGCCAAGGTTCGACTCCCGGCTGGCTCATAGAATTCCCTTAGGTTTTTTCGTTCTCTGGACACCTCGTCTCTCTTAGATTATCATATTCATAGTCCACGTGGCAATTCACACTTTGAACGTTGCCCGTTCCGAATTAATTCCAACACCACCTTTGAATTTCCTCCCCGGACCTCACAAACAGGAACGCACACGTGTACAAGGCTCCGCACACGCACAGCAGTGGGTAATATGAGCCAGTCTCGCGTCTGCACCATATACACGAGAATTGGAGGCGGTGATTACATATGCGGAAGGCCCGGGTTCGACTCCCGGCTGGTTCATGGAGGATCGGTATCTTTTTTCTGGTTAGTTCGCCCAGTACGCACTCTGTCATATCCGCATGCGCATACTGCCATCGCTCTTGAACGTTCCTGAATCCGAACGGTGCCCATACATTTCGAATTAATCCCAACCCCGCATCTGAATATCTGATTCCCTTCCCCGCCCTCAAAACGAGGCAAAGCACCCGATACGAGGCTTCTCACAGCAAGGATAGAACGAGCCAGTGGCGAAGGGTATCGCGTCCGCCGCAAATTCATTGCGGGTTTGATACATGTGGAAGGCCCGGGTTCGACTTCCGGCTGGGTCGTGTAACGAGGATGAGCTCCTTTTTTCTCTCTCTTCTTCTGGACACTTCATGCAGCAGTCTCTCTGCGATTATCACATCCGCCAGGCATCTTGCAATTTGAATGTTGCCTTTCAATTTCGAATTAATTCCAATATCACATCTGATTTCCTCCCACTGCAGCTCAGAACGAGGCAATGCACCCATACGAGGCTCCGCGCAGCAGGGGTAGAACGAGCCAGTGACGAACGCCGCCGAAAGGTCTCGCGCCCCCCCCATACACCACCATTTGGGTCTTTTATTTCTGAGACAAATCCAGCAGATACTTTTTGAACATATCCGCAAATGTTTGAAATATCTCAGTCAGGTATTGAGGCGATGTTTTTCTTCAAATGTTCCCCCGATGCAGTACTGTACATACTTGTAGGGACGCAACGCCGTAATGACCGTGACATGGCCGTTGCCATTTTTTCAGGCAACGGGCACGACCGTGATCGTGACTGTTGCCGAAAGAAGCAACCAATCAAATTTTCTCCCATTGTTGCACTGAGAGTACTGTACTAATCCGATCAAGTGTTCACAGGGTGTCACCCGTCACCGCAAGTGTTCACTGGATCAAGTGTTCATTCTGACAAATACCATCAATTCCTCCCATATATGGAAGTCCGGTGAACGCCGGACAATTTTTTTGAGTTTTTTCAGGCCTATTTGGGCCAGAAAATATGCTCATCACCGTCACCTATGCCCCAAGTGTTCAGTTCACAGGTCCTCGTCACCCGTCACCTGAACACTTGATCGGATTAGTATAGTAGTAATTAAATACGAAAAATGGGCAGCTAGGGTGGCTCTTTCAGAAGCACATATCTGCTTAGAATTTAGAACTTGGCAAAAAGTTCTGTCTTTTTACGAGCATTTACGATTTTTTTTCAATGTCACGATCTTTTTCAGGCAACGAGGCCTATGGTGACCGTGACCCCGCGAAAAAAAGGCAACGCAACGCGGCCATCGTGACTGTGACCGTTGCGTCCCTACAAGTATGTACAGTATAGGTAATGTTTGAGCATGGTAAATGTGTCAGGAATATATGTGCGCAGATGTCGCTCAATACATATGTATGGCTGGAAATACTTCACGAGTTACTCCTCCCGTTGTGCGGCACCAGCAGTGTTGTCCTCCCTCTCCTTTTTCTTCCAAGCTTTTGTTGCCTGACCCTTTGCCGTAGCCAGAGCTCGTTTTTCCGGTCCGACTTCCCGCAAGGTTTGTAAGGGTTCGCATCGGCTCTCGGCACCGAGTCCCGAATAGTGCAGCGCGCCGCGCGGCCGCAGGCTTGCGGCGCGGTCAAGGCGCGGTTGCGCAGTAGATTGCAACAGCGGCACAGCGCTGCCGCAGTCTGCCGCAGTTATTCCGTAGTTTCCGTAGTTAGTCCTAGATAGTATAAATAGTCAGTACCTACCAGTACTTAGGCATCCTCGTCAAACACGGAGCTTTACCGACTCAACATCTCAGTCTAAGTAAAACTCACCCGACTTGGATCACTGTGTTCTGCGACTTCTTATCCAAGAACTCCGCAGCCTCACATTTTTTTGAGTCCAAATTTTCTGTTATTTCGTGTTGACTTCAACTGGACTGATCATCCGGTTGTAAACGCGCAGGCGCAAAAGTAACATTCACTACGCGACGTACAGCATGGTGAATATGCGCGGGAAGATGTACCTTCGGCGCGCTTGATATTCGGACTTCCCAGGACGGTGTTCTGGTGGAAGCGGCCGATGGTAGTGCTCCGCTCGAGCATTTGCGGGGTAGCCATGAATCGGAGGGCGTGCTTCGAATGGAAAGCATGCCGGCTTCAAATCTTGGCGCCAAGAATGGGGCGCCAAGTGATTGGACCTCAGTCGCGAGCATCGCGCAGGAGGCGGCCGATGATGCCCAACTCAGTGTTGAGTGTGGAGGCATCACAGTCGAGAGCTTGCTCGATGTACTGAGCCGGACAACTGTATTCCCAGGTGCTGTGGATGTCCTGGATGTTCCCGCTATCGGTGAATATGCGGAAGAGCGAGCAGAGTCTGACAGAATAGACTCACCTCGTGGCTCGAGGTTTGAGCCAGAGGTCAATGATCAAAGCTTGCTTGAAGCCGTGGACATGCAAAGTCCGGAGGGTGTGTTTTTTAACCCCGAAAGTTACGGCTAGAAAGGCTGCGAGGGCCTCACAGTCTTTAGTAGTAGGAAATAAGTTTTTTCCTACCTGGTTCGCGTCGAGTTCAGATGCAGAAGAACCAATGGACAGAGGAATAGTCCAAAGTTTGTCGCCGCAGAACGATGAATCTGCCGGAGCGACATCTTCCATCAAAGGATAATGGATGGATGGGATCAGATCTATGGCAGTAACGGTAGAGGTTCCAGACTCACCGATTGCAAAATCCAAGGCAGCGCGTGAAAAATCCGCACGGATGAAAGCCGAACGTAACCGGCGTGCAGGCAGCAAACCGAAAGAGTTTATGCGGCCTGCATCGCAACTGCCGGAGGGCGGATGGTTCAGGGCAACTACAAGCGAAAGTAGAAGTCCGCCTACCTCTGATTGTTCGACATCGGCTAGTCCCTCGACATCTGGGGATGAATCCACGTCTTCTTCCGAGAGCAGGACTTCCGTGCTGCGAAAAAGAAGGCTCGTAAGAATTGCAAGAAGAAAGGGAAGAAGAGGGAACAGAAGACATCGAAGGCTACGCACGGTATCAAATTGAACCATCCATTCGTTTGGAACGGCAAACCGGACATCGACGTCTTTGATCATTGGACGTTCGAAGTAGATTCGTGGATCAATCTCACTGAATTGTCGGATAAGTTGGCCCTGAAATTATTGGTGAATTTCATGAGTGG